ATAATGTTCATATTAGCTTTATTGATGTAATTTTTGGCTTTTATGATGTTTTGAATTCATCAATATTGCTCCAGAGGACACAGATGACCAATTTTGCAACTTTCTCAGAAATTGTGTCTCAACAAACTTGATAAGTATACCAATTGATTGTTCTCTGTCTTGATGTGCATCATGATGAAATCGGTCAAACAATGCCGAAAAAAAAGGGTGTGGGCGTGGGTGTGGGTGGGTGTGGGTGTGGGTGGGTGTGGGTGTGGGTATGGAATATCTGGGCTTCTACACCCACACCCACATCCACACTCTACAACCACACCTCACATCCCCACATCCCCACCCACACACCCGCACCCACACCCACATCCGCACCCACCCACACCCATACCCACACCCTACAATTGTTTGCTAGAAGAAATTTTATCGAATGATCCTTCACTTCGCAGTTTGTATGCCGATCTCAGCCTAATCGCTTCATTGCAAGGTGACTACAACAGGAGTGTGCAGTGGCGCAAAAAATCACTTAAGCTCAGAGGACAAACTGCAGATTTTGATAGTATCAATAAAGGTAAGACAATCAGAGTTATTTGTAGGTTTCATGAAATATGATCAATCACTATTCAGCAACACTTCAACATAAAAAACAATCTTTTCGGAAGGGTATAAGCATTAATCTTCTACTCTGGTGCATCAATTTACATCCGCCTACATTCACATCCTCTGGCCATACCTATAACGACTTTCAACAGCCACATCATTTTTAACTAAAGCAGTCATATTCTTTATCAGCTATCTCGTTCTGAAAGAAATCTCAGTTTTGTTGCATGAGATCTAAAAATAAACTATGTGACAGATTTGATACTGGCAAGGGAAATTCCTTCTATGTCTACCGAGTTTTCTCGAAAATTCTGATAGTTTTGATTCTTGTTTTTAAGGAAATTTCAATCGCACATGTAAAAGAAATCATATGCATAATTGGGCATCGGTATGGATGTGAACGTCGCTGTGTTCCGCTCTTTTACCAACACCTTCACCTGCATTTTCGAGTAGCCATAAACTCTTTTCTGTTAGGCATTTAGTAGAGAGCACTTCGCGGATGCACCAACATTGGAAAAACCAAAGTCGTAAAAGTTCTATTTTCAGGTATAGGGAAGATGAGACTACCTCTAAACTCATTTGTGTGTCTTGGAAGCGTTTAGAACAATCAGTTTCCCCACAGTACTAGAGTATTTTGACTAAATCTCAACAATGTACACATTATCAAGAGAATAATGGATTATTATAAAAAAATATTTTTGAAAAGTTGAAACGTCAGTTGAACATGAGACTTAAAAATTTCCTAGAAATTTTTAGAAATAATATTCAAATTGTTAACCTTGACAGAACTGTTAGGTTTTCAAACAACATTATATCACAAAGATAATATTTTTTTTCACTATGAGTTCAGGTTTTGACATCGACAGTTCCTGGCATATGTTTTTCACATTTAGATAAATCACATGACTTTATTCAAATATCCGACAATGACCTCAAACTACATAAGGAGATTGGTGCCGGAGGCTTTGGCACAGTGCAGCGTGGAAAAGTAGACGTTACACAGTTTCTGTCAAAAAGTTGCGTCTGACCCATTTGACTGGTAGAGCTGGGCAAGAGTTCTTCAAAGAGCTTTCATTAATGGACAATATTCGTTGTCCTACACTCTAAAAAAAAAAGGTATTCTACCAAACCCTCCAAAAAGGTTTCGTAGGTATCTAAAAGCTTCCAAATGCGTCCAAACGCTTAAAAAAATGGTTGTTAAAATCTACGAAACCTTTAAAGGATCGGGACGCAGGCACACCTTCCGAACCATCTCCTACGAAAACTATTTAAGTTTCGTACAGCGAAAAAAAGGTTTCGTAAGAAAATACGATACCTTCATAGTTTCCTGGTAAACTCTAGGTTTCGCACTATAGTTTTATACGAAACCACAAGGTTTGCTAGGGAACTATGAAGGTTTCGTATTTTCTTACGAAACTTAAATAGGTTTCGTAGGAGATGGTTCGGAAGGTGTGCCCGCGTCCCGGTCCTTTAAAGGTTTCGTAGATTTTAACAACCAGTTTTTTAAGCATTTGGACGCAATTGGAAGCTTTTAGACACCTACGAAACCTTTTTGGAGGGTTCGGTAAAATACCTTTTTTTTTTACAGTGTAACATCATCAGTTTTTATGGTGCATGCACGGAAACAGGGAAGTATGGATTGGTTATGGAATACATGTCATTAGGATCATTGTACAAACTATTACACGAAGATAATTTAGTATTAACATGGCCTGAACGATTATCCATTGCTTTTCAAACATCTAACGGAATCAATTATTTACATCAATTATCAGAACCTCTCTTACATCGTGACATAAAATCGTTGAATTTCTTGATAGAAAGAGCTTATGAAGGATATACTGTCAAAGTATGTGATTTTGGTTTGACTCGTACACGAAACGAAACGACACGTCAATCAAAATCCGATTCTACACTGACTTGTACACTACCATGGGCTGCTCCTGAAATATTACGTTTGGAATGTCACACAGATAAGAGTGATATCTATAGTCTGGGAGTAGTTTTTTGGGAACTAGCTACATATGAAATCCCTTATTATGAGTATCCAGATGATGTCATTCGTGCATCTGTGCTTGCTGGTGACCGTTTGAAGATACCAGATAGTACACCATCGGTTTTTCGTGAGCTTATCAAGAAATGTTGGGCCCAAAACCCAAACGACCGACCCAATAGCTCTGATCTGGTCGAAATAATTGAAAAACTTATTCAAGTTCGAGGTAATTCCGTTCTATTTTTGCTTTACTTTGATGAACCATGACTAATTGAAGATGAAAGTGTGAAAAAAGAAGTCTATGGCTACTGAAAACCGACTGTCTTGTATCGGAGTTCAATCCGTAGCTCTATTTTCTGTTTAGTAATTGCTTCTGCCATAAAGAGTGTCAAATAAATTTTAATCATCTAAAACAATAATCTTTTCTCACATATTTCTAGAGTGAAAGAAGCGTATATGCACTAGACATCTACTAGATGTCTAGATGCACTCTATACTAGAATTTGAGCGTTCTATCTCATCCATTATTTCAAAAATTATTCTAAAAATTCCACTCATTTTACATCACTTGTATCTCTGCAGTAACGATATCCTACATAGCTCAAACTCTAAGTACATGTGCTGTGAATATCAGCCTCTTCCACTTCAAAAAACATCTAAGAAAATATCATTGTTTTAGAATGGAATTATTAGAAACTCAGAATCTGATTGAAAATCCATACAATGGTCTATTTTATTTCTTTCTGAATTTAAAAAAAAACACTTCCTTTTTATCTGAAATGGGGGTCTAATGGGTCTAAGTACGTATCATATACCATTTTCTAAATAGTGTGGGTCTAGTGGGTCTAAGGATATATCATATACCGTTTTTTAAGTAGGGTGGGTCTTGGTGGGTCTAGTGGGTATAAGGATATTTTATGTATCTTTTTTTAAATAGGGTGAGTCTTGGTTAGAGCCCTTCACTGGGTCCAGAAAAAATTCCCGGATCCGTTAAAAGAAATACGATCCGTTCTGTGATTTTTCATTCTAATACATTACTCAACCGATCATCTTGTAGAGAAATATTTTCTATTTCACCTCATGTATTAACAAAAGCACGACAATGCATTATAGCCTAAATAACTTAATAAAAGAAGTTCGACTCCATATTGTCCGGGTCCGAATGTGCACCCGGGCTACTTTTATTAAATTATTTTAGTTATAATGCATTGCAGTGCTTTTCTAAATGCATGAGGTGAAATGGAAAATGTTTCTGAACAAGATGAATGGTTGACTAATGTATTAACATGAAAAATGACAGAACGGCTCGTATTTCTTGACCGGGTCCGGAAATTTTTTTGGACCCCAGTGAATGACTCTAACCAAGACCCACCCTGTTTAAAAAAAGGTATACAAAATATTCTTAGATCCACCAAGACCCACCCTATGTAAAAAAAGGTACGTGATATATCCTTAGACTCACCCTATTTTAAAAAAAAGGTATATGATATATCCTTAGACCCACTAGATCCCCCAAGACTCACCCCTATAATAAGAGAGGTAGATGTATATATAATAATAAATAATTATAAAGACCCTCTATAGCCGCGCAATTAGCAGCCTATAGAAAAAGTTGTTGAGGATGTAGCATGAGGGTGATGGCTAGACTGAGTGTTTGCTGAAGTTTTATTCGCTTTCCAGTCCCTTTTGTGGGTGTTGCGGGGTTGTGTATATTTTTCGAGATTTTCGCTTCGGATTAAGCTATTGTTGTTGACATAAGAAAAATTGATGATTGTGACTGTTAGGGTTAGTCGACTTGCTTTTTTCTAGACCCACTATACCCACGAGTTCGCGGGAAAAGGTTGCTTTTTTTTTTATTTGGCATTCAGAAAGAATTAGAAAAGACCATAGAGTCTGAAAGTCAAGTAAAAATCAGAAACAAGGCATGATTTTTCTATCTTTCTATCGTCATTCGGTTATAAATAAGATATTTGTTTTCTAAGGGTGACGACTAAGAGAATTCTCATAACTATCATTCCGTTAAGAAAAGGCTTTTGGATTAGTTTTTTGAAAGACTATCTTGTTCTTGTAGATTGACGATATTTTACCACTAACATAACATGATGATTAGCCTTTCTTAAAGATATATAAACAGAGCTAGTGTTGTTACTTATACTTACTTTTTTGATTGTGTAGCAAAAGAGGCTAGAACAAAATAATCTATCAGTAGAAATCAGTGTACCTGTACCAATGGATTACATTAGTTCTCTGGCGTCTTGGCACAGCGATAATATATTCATATGGTACATATAAAAGTGTATACAGATTTTAGTTGTTGATTGAAACTAATCAGCATCTGTTTCCTATTTAACTCTGTTCCATCTAGATTTTAGTAATAACATAGTCTGTTTCTATGAGTTCCTAGACTTCGCTGGCGTGCTTTGAATTTCTATGGTTCGTCAAGTTCCTCAGATTCTTTTCATTCATCTCTTTCTTCCGTGTCTGGAGTTCGTAGACTATTTTGATTCTCTGAATATGAGAAGAAGATAATTGATGGATCATGTATTTTTGAAAATTGTTTTCAGTGCTATTGAAAATATTGTGACCACGTGACTTCCGAACGACTCTTATGTCAATCTTGTTACATTATTGCAACAAATAACTTATAAGATGTGCGTGAGTATTAGTGTGGATGTAGATAAGAGTGAGGAACAGAAACATTGATACTCACTCACACTCATAGCCATTCCTTAGAATTCCCAAATAAATACGAAATAGGTTGCGCATTTAATTGCCATGCTTCAAATATCCTTCGTTCTGAGATTCTTGTAAAAAGATCAAATCTGAGCATTTTTAGTTTCAAATTAGGACATTGTGCAGTTGTAGCAGATCTTCTCCAAAAGCCTGATAATAGCTTACCAGAATTTTCCTATCTTCCCGAATAAGACTTTCCTTTCCCTATGACGAAAGAACTCCTCGTCTGATACTTCTAGAAAGCTAACTAAATTCTTATGTTTGCCTATGAAGAATTTGGATCCGATTAGCATTAGTCTTATCAGTGTTTCAAAAGCAGAAATGATCTCGCTAAAACTACATCACGATCATCTTTTAAACAGCTTGATATAGGTTAGAAAAAATCTAATAGAATCACACCTCTATCGTTTATGTGAATGCTTACGACACTCTTCGGCAGATTCAAATTTATCCTTCAGAAAATGATGTGATTAAGAATTTTCTCTAAGCAAGTAAAATGTTTTCAAGCCGTCAAAATTCTCATTGTTGACATTTTTCTTACAAAATCCTGATACATCTTGTTAGTAGTTCCTTATGAAAACGATGGAAAAATCTTATGCTTGCTTATCAAGAGCTTATATAGGACTAGTATTAATCTTCTCAGATTTTCAGAAATGCTTCTTCCTAAAAAAAACTTTTGCAGGAGTTTCATAGATCTTGGCAAAATCTAAAATGAGTCCCTGCATAAACGAATTCTCAAAAGACACGTTATGAAGTTCTTTTTTTGCGTAGGAAACTAGAAAAAGGTTTTCCAATTTATATCTGTGCGGGAGAACCCTTATTTGTAGAAAACGACGATGATGATTCCTTTTTTCCTCATTCATTGTAGTAATTCCCAATATTCCAGTCAATGTTCGATGGGTACAGAATGGAGTGACCGTTGCTGGAGGCAATGGAAAAAGCAGTGCCACCAATCGACTCTGGAGCCCTGAAGGTCTCTTCGTTGATGATGATCAAACAACGATTATTGCTGACAGCTCGAATCATCGCAACATTCAGTGGAAGAGGGGTGATACGAATGGAAATCAATTGCATCAGTTGTATTATCCAACCGATGTACTGACCGACAAAGAAGCGGATAGTCTCATTATCTGTGATTGAGGGAATGGACGAGTCGTACGATGGTCCTGTCGCAGTGGCACAACTCAAGGAGAAATTGTCGTCGACCACATCAAGTGTTGGGGAATGACCATAGATGATCAGAGATATCTGTATGTTTCTGACACCAGCAAACACGAAGTAAGACGATATCGAATAGGAGACAAGAATGGAACTCTCGTGGCTGATGGTAATGGCCAAGGTGATGGTCTCAATCAGCTTAACTGGCCAATATACCTATTTGTTGATCAACAACAGACTGTCTATGTGTCAGATAACAACAATCATCATGTGACGATATGAAATGAAGGTGCAAAAGAAGGAATTGTTGTCGCGGGAGGTCAAAGTAAAGGAAATGCTCTGACACAATTCTCGTATCTTCGAGGACTCTTCGTCGATATGTTGGGTACTCTCTATATGGCCGACTCGTGGAATCATAGAGTGATCCGTTGGCCTAAAGAAGCGACACAGGGCACTGTCATTCTGGGTGGAAATGGTGAAGGAAGAGGACCAAATCAGTTCAACTCTCTCAGAGGTTTGTCCTTCGATCGACATGGCAATCTCTACATCGTTGAATTTGGGAATCATCGCGTTCAACGCTTCTCGATCGAATAGACTCAAAACGATGGATTGTTTTTTTTCTTTGCTTGAAATAAACTACGCTGACTTGACGAAAGTGATAACTATTATGTTCGTGCACGTACGAGGGCGTGGGTGTGGGTGTGTAGAGGTTCGTATGAGTGTTACTAGAGCATAAATAATAGCCCGTCCATACCCCACAAACAAACCTCATACCCACACTCACACCCTGTTTCGAATCTCGGGTCAGTTTTCTCACCAGATACCCTCTACACGATTTTCTCCTCTTATTGGTGCTACAAGAAGCGACCTGCTTTACTACGCAAGTGAAAATCACTCATTTTGTCTCCCATCACCGTACCTTATTCTTTAAACGATGTAAAACACTGCGTGTGGCTTCTGTGCATACGCCAGCAGCAGAATCCAAACCAATTTAAGTGAGAAAAAGAGCAGATGCGGTAAATAAAACATTGTTAGCAATTGTCTGATTTCACATATTTAAATCACATTAGAAATGATGGCGGTACAACGCTTCGTGTTCCTTGTTCTCAGGTAATCGGGACATATTTTTCTTTGGTTCATTGTGCTATTTTGAAAAATTTCTCTTTTTAGTATCACAGGTATGATCGTGATATTTTGTATACATTTCAAAAAACTAATTTTATCTACAATTAGCGTGCGGTGTGTTGCCAGCATGTTATAACGTATCTCAATATGACATTTGCTCGACGAATCCGGCTTGCAGCTGTTTACACTTTGTACCTTCTTTCAGTTCTGGTATTTGTGTGTCCTTGAATGCCCCTTGTTCTCGACTGGTG